TTATTGGTGAAATACCTTTAGAAATAAATGTTAATGGAATAAAAACAACAATTATTGCTGATGTTACAACAAATCTTGTTACAAATTTGATATTAGGTAGTGATTGGATTCAATCAAACAACGTTTATATTCTCACACCTGAACAACGAATTATGATCCGAAGTCGAGGTAAAGAAGTATCAACTCCTTTTGTTACACCACCTCTTCTAAATTATCCAGCTACTCTGATTAACTATATTACTTTTCCTCCTTTTTCAGAAAGAATAGTAGAAGCAAAAGTTCAACCTAACAATATGACTGACATATTATTTGAACCAAATCCTCGGTTAAAAAATAAAGCATTATTTACTGCAAATGCATTACTCAATATCGAAAATAGCAAAATTAGAATTAGTATAATTAATGCAACTAATCGACAACAAACGCTTTCCGAAGGAACCAAATTAGGTATCGTGACACAAGTATCTTCTACAATTGGTGTCACCATGTCATCAAATTATTTAACAGAACGCATTCCGGAAGGAAAAGCGTGTAAAGAGCTCATTCCTGAAGGGAAAGGAGCGAAGAAATCAAACAAATTAAATTTTAATAATATGCTGACTACAACAGTACATGGAAAACAACACCAATGTCGTGAATGTTATCGAAATTTTGATACTGGCAATGAATTATTTGAACACCTTAGAAACAAATGTTATCCTGAAGAAATAAGACAGCAAATAAACAAATTAACCGAACATATTAGTGATGATAAACAACGGGAACACATTTTAAAAATTTTATGCAAATATGGAAAATTATTTGATATTAGAAGACCATCAAAAATTGATATTGTTTTAAAAAATGCTATTGATACTGGTACACATCGACCAATCCATACTCCACCATATAGGAAATCGAACAAAGATCAAGAAACCTTAAGAAAAGAAACAGATAAATTATTAAAAAATGGAATTATTGAACATTCAACATCACCATGGTCTTCACCTGTCGTTTTAGTAAAAAAGAAAGATGGAACAACAAGATTTTGTGTCGATTATCGTCGTCTGAATCAAATTACAACGAAAGATGCTTTCCCTCTACCAAGAATTGATGATATTTATGACCAGTTAACAAAAGCAGCATATTTCACAAAATTTGATTTCAAAGCTGGTTATTTTCAAGTACCATTAGACAAAGCAGATCGACCAAAAACAGCATTTTCAACTCGAGATGGACATTTTCAATTTAAAGTATTACCACAAGGCCTTACTAATGGACCACCAACATTCCAACGTATTGTTAATCAAATATTAGGTCCAAATAGGTGGAAACATGTTCTCGCCTATATCGATGATATTATTATTTACTCACAAAATTTTAGTGAACATTTAAAACATATTGAAGAAGTCTGTTCTCTATTACAAGAAGCAAATTTCAAATTAAATGTTGATAAATGTGAAGTAGCAAGGACAGAAATATTATTTCTCGGACATGTAATTAAAGCTGGTACCATTAAACCAGATCCAGACAACATCCGTGGATTGACTGATACACGAGAACCAACATCAGCTGAAGAAGCATTTAGATTCGTCAAGGCAGCAGAATATTACAGAAAATTTATTCCAAAATTCTCCACCATCGCTGCACCATTACATAAATACTCTCCAGCAACATTACAGCAACAAAAGAACAATAAAAAATTAAAATTTGAATTATCGGCCGAAGCCAGAACGGCATTCCATCAACTCAAGAAAATATTAACAACCGATCTTATTCTTGATTTACCCGATGATGCATTACCATTTAAATTACAAACTGATGCTTCTGGAGATGGAATTGGTGCTGTTTTATTACAAATTACTCCCAATGGTGATCGACCATTAGCATACATGTCAAAGAAATTAACAAAAACACAAACTAATTGGCCAACAATCGAACAAGAATGTTATGCAATAGTACAAGCAATAGACAAATGGGACAAATATCTTCGTGGCCATGAATTCATATTAGAAACTGATCATGAACCGTTAGTTCATTTTACCAACAAAGAACAATTAAATAAAAGATGTGAACGATGGCGATTAAAATTAGCTGAATATCGATTTAAGGTGAAACACATACAAGGCAAGAAAAACAATATGGCAGATTATCTTTCAAGATCACCAGTCGAAATAGCTGAAGAAGATATTGAAGAACGAACTCAATATGAATCTGCATCAACACAAACAGATTTATCATTTTCATCAGTAAATAATAATTTAATTCCATTAAAAATAACAACAGCGGTTACTAGAGCTCAAGCCAAATTACAACAACAAGCAATGGCAACACCATCTATTAAACCAACAGATGAAAAAATTAATGAGCTCATCCTACAAGGGAAAGTAGCGATTGATGAAGAATCGATAATCAAACAATCAGATGAAAATCCAAACAAGATCATCCCATTTGATATGGATGATTTAAGAAAACTTCAAGAAGAAGATAAAACAACTCAAGAAATAAAAAAGAACATCAAGAATAAAAAACATTATTCTATCGAAGATGGAATATTATTTAGAAAACAACAGCTACCACTTCCATCTGTACCATATGTTCCAGCAGGACGAATACGGGCTGATATATTAAAAATATATCATGATACACCTGCTAATGGAGCTCATTTTGGACGTGACAAAACAACAAGAAAAATTCAAGAACGTTATTATTGGCCAACAATGATAGCTGATATTAGAAATCATATTAATTCATGTTT